ATATTTAAAAAAATCCCCTACGTACTTCTACAGTCTTTCATATGCAGATAATGAAAATTTTTTGTGTTTTGTTCAAGGTCAAACCGTGTGCCTGGAATCCTATATACCGATTTGAAAAAACAGAAAAAAGGGATTCCATAAGTAGGCCAATGTACCACCATTTCGTACATATTACTTAAATTTACCCACTACAAAAATAAAAAAATATATTTTTTTAATTTCTTATATACTACGTACAACGATTTTCTCTAAACAGCTTTTAAATAAAGTTATCTATTTAATAATAAGTTAAAGAAGGCTTAATAAAACAACGAAATTAATAAATTAAATATGGGCTAAGAGCCTGAGCTAGGTATTTAATGCTCAAATAATAAATCAATTTACATAAAATGATTAAATAAACAACGAACGTTTCAACCTGTATTAGGTCATTCTCAATGTTAAAGTCGATGAAAATTAATACAAGTAAAAATAAAAACGGTAAAATATAAATGTATAGTGTTAAAAATCGTTAAATACCATCTAAACATAATATTCAGGCGCAAATCTCCGAAGAGCATCGTAAAGCATTAGTGTCTGTCCATAATAAGGACTTTAAGCCTTACGCCGTAAGATATTAACCAATTACAATCGATTATTCTCCTCATATTCGACTATGATTGGTCTATTTCTTACTGCTTAGGGCTTAAGATCCTCATTGTGGACCGACACTTACAATAGACGGAACATACGCTTCTTCCAGATTTGAACCGGAGACAAAGGCAAATAATGTTGTTAAGTTATCTATTTACCTACAGAAAATCCCAAACTTAGGTATCATTTTGAGGCCTCAGGGGTGTCATAACCCCTTAAATCATAACGATGTTCGTAATGTAAGTGAAGTGAAGTTTTTGTTGAGCTCCATGTTAAATTGTTTGCACTTGTACGGAGTATAAAGTATCCTTCATGTTCCAATAATCTGCTTTAATAAAGATTTTACACAGTTTTTTTCTTATATAAAGTAATAGAATGTCAATCGCACGAAGTTTACACACGAAGAAAGTAATGCGTACATATCGTTAACCGGATACTTTAATTGGTTGCGCTGTTTAGACAGTTACAGATTCATGTTTGCTTGTGCCTCCACAATGGCCTTCTATCTATTTTTTGGATTTAGATAAATCCTGCACGATGCGGTTATTATACCTTTTTTACAAAAGGTGCACTAACAATAAGTAAACGTGTGATTATATACACCTGCGCGCGCAATGTACACGCATGCACGCACATGTTTCAAGTAGGATACGTATGTTTTTATTTTTGCGAAGAAACTGTTTTCGAGCATATGCAGGATGAGTCACGTAATTGACACGAGTTTTAGTATTCCTAGTAGCACAATTTATTAGCGATATATTGGCATACTTTGGGGATATATTGGGCCAATATTGCGCCAAGGAGTGCTATTATAAATCTGTTTGTTGAAAATAAAATAAAATGATACAGGCAAAAATTGAATAATGTCTATTTTTATATTGATTTATTTGACTAGAATCATTTTACTCTTGATTGGCTTTATCAACGAACGAAATTAATTCAACTCCAGATAATGGTTTTTGATACCCTGATTGATTAGTTGTGTTATGTGTCAAGTAAAT